AAAAAAAAAAAAAAAAAAAAAGGCTGGTTCCCATTTAGCCCTTAGAGAAGAAAGCTTAGTGGAGGTTACCAAGGGAGGGGCTCTATCGAGGCATGTCTGACCTCCCATTGCATCAGGGCTGGGACTCAGCTTTAAGGTTTCTTTGGGGTCCCCTTGGCCAAGAGGGGGTCCATTCAGTAGTCTGGGTGGGGGGGAGGGCTTAGGGCTTTGTTTTTATTTCTCAGAACATGTTGGAGACTGGTTAAATGATTACGACCAAAATGCTGATAGAAACATGGGCAGTGAAAGCTGTATTTCTGATGAGGTCTCAGAAAAAAATGAGGAACTTACTTGGAGCTGGAGCAAAGGTCATCCTTGTTACACCTTGGCAAAGAACTTGGCTGCATTGTGCCAGTGTCCTAGGTTTGTGGAAGACTGAACTTGAGTGATAACTTAGGGTATCTGGAGGAAAAATAATTTCTATGCAGCAAAGCATTCAAGAGGTGGCAAGTCTGCTTCTACCAATCTGTGGTCAGATCGGGAGCAAAGGAATGACTTAAAGTTGGGACTTATAATTCAAAGAAAAGTAAAGTGGAAAAATTTGGAAAATCTGCAGCCTTGCCCATGGTGGAGAAGGAAAGAACATTTTCAGGAGAGGAACCCAAAGATTAAGAGTCCAAGAGGCATGAGCAGCAACCACTTGCTAGAGAGGTTGGCGTGACTGAAAGGGAAGCAGGTGCTAATAGCCAAGATAGTGGGAAAAAAGCCTCAAAGACCCTTCAGAAATCTTCCAGGCTGCTCCTCCCATTGCAAGCCCAGGGGCCTAGGAGGACAGACTGGTTCAGGGACAGGCCAGGGGCATGGCTACTCAGTGCTGCCTTGGGGTGCTGCTTCCCTTATCCTAGCCATCTCAAGTCCAGTCTCCACTCACAGGGCCCTAAGTAGGAGCTCAGGCCACTACTTCAGAGCATGCAAACCACTAGCCCTCATAGTTCCTACATGGTATTAAGTCTGCAGGCATGCAGAATGCAAGAGTGGTGGAGCTTTGCCAGTTTCCACCTCCATTTCAGAGGGTATGAAAGCCTGGGTGCCCAGGCAGAAGTCTGCTGCAGCGGCAGCGCCCCCCCTCCCATGGTGAGCCTTTTCTAGGGTAGTTCCAAGGCAGTATGTAGGGTTGGAGTGCCCACACAGAGCCCCCACCTGGGCATTACCTAGTGGAGCAGTGGGAATGTGGTCTCTGCCCTCTGGACTCCAGAATGGTAGACCACTGGCAGCCTGCACCTGAGCCTGGAAAAGCCACAGTTACTCAACTCCAACCTGTGAGAGCAAGAACGGCAGCTGCACCTTGCAAAGCAGGTACAGACGCAGGGCTGCGTAAGCCCTTGTGGGCCCAGCCCACACAACTGTGTACCCCAGATACGGAATATGGAGTCAAGGGAGATTATATTGATGCTTTCAGATTTAATGTCTTCTCTGCCGGGTTTCAGACTTGCATAGGGCTTGTTGCTTCCAATTTCTCCCTTTTGGAATGGGAATATTCACTCAATGACTGTGTCACCATTGTATTAATATAGTGGGAGTAAACAACTTGTTTTTGGTCTTATAGGGTCATAGGTGGAAAGAATTTGTCTTGAGTCTCAGATGAGACTTTGGACTTTTGAGTTGATGCTGAAACGAGTTAAGACTTTTGGAGACTATTGGGGAGAGATGACCGTATTTTCCAATGTGAGAAGGACATGAATCTGGGGGACCAGGAATGGAATAATATAGTTTGGATGTCTTTCCCTTCCAAATCTCATGTTGAAATGTGATCCCTCATGTTGGAGGTGGGCCGGGTGGGAGGTGTTTGGGTCCTGGGTGGTGAGCCCTTCATGAATGGCTTGGTGACCTCCTCATGGTAGTGAGTGAGTTCTCACTCCATTAGTTCATGTTATAGCTGGTTGTTTAAAGAGCCTGGCTCTCCTCCCTTCCCTCTTGCCTCCTCTTTCACCATGTGACATACCTGCTCACCCTTTGCCTTCCACCACGAATGGAAGCTTCCTGAGGCCTCAGCAGAGGCAGATGCTGGCACTACGCTTCTCACATGGTCTGCAGAACGGTGACCCAAATAAACTTCTTTTCTTTATACACTGCCCAGCCCCAGGTATTCCTTTATGGCCGTGCAAAATGGACTAACACACTGGTGTATTTTAAAATTAAGATTTTAAAGCTGCAATGGACTGTTTCCTGTTTCTTTCAAAATCTTGTTCACATCCTCTCTGGTGGAGGCCCTCGCACTTTCCTGTTGACTCTGGAGAGTCCATCCCAGCCTGTGGTTTTTGCCTTCCTAGACAGCTGGGTGATTTCAGCCAAGACACTTAATATCTGTTAAAAGGCGAATAGCAAAAACATCATAGTAAGCTCACTGGTTATTTCTTGCAATAAATGGGAGAGTGTATATAAACAGGTTTTTGAAAGAAGTTAGGAAAAGTGGCAAATTGACCTCCGTGATAAATAAAACTTGACATTACGTATTCTAAAAGTTAAGATTGCAAGGAATAAGGTAATGTCTAGTGCTTTATTCACTGGGACAAATGCTGTGTTGTATTTACACATCTTAAATGTTTTACTGTGATCTTAGAGGGGTTGTTAAAACTAACAAGGAACCTTTCATTTGTATCCAGCGTTTAATATATTTGTGTCTAGTGACTGCTTGTATCTCACCTTCTGAGGGTGGGGCACATAGTGAAGCAGGTGATCCTCAAGTTCCAACCCCTGGGTCTCAACCTGTTACGACTGCCCCTTCCACCATTCCTGCTCCCCCACAACCCTGGGTTGCTAAGGTGCTCTTTGAATGGGTGTGTGTATGTCAGGAGGTACAGCTCCTGAGCCTTTACAGCTGGAGGGTGGAATGACCTCAGTTCAAACACTCACCAAAAGCCCAGCCTGGCATAGGATCTCTTTCTCTATGGTAATGGCATGGGGGACACCCCAGCAGTTGTTGACCCAATTAATTCACCCCACTGCAGGACATGTGGGCTGTGCTTCTCCAGTGTCCCAGATAGAGTGTGGGCCTACAGCTGGGAAGACACAGCAGCTGCAGCAACCCTTACCCCCAGACCCTGGGGTTGCCTGGGACAGAAGCCAAAGGAAGAAGATGAAAACGCACAGGAGGTGTGCTTTGCACGTTTTTTTTCCCCTTGAGAGATGGGGAAGATTGTGAGGGAGAGTAAGAAAGTCTATGGAAAAGGAAAGCCTTTTTTATTTATTTTAAAGGAGACTAGAGTAGGATCAGAGAAGACAGACCTGCCTAAATGATAATTATCAAAACACCATGACCTTGGGGAGAATATTGGCTGTTGTATTTGAGTGCTCATTCACCTGGCACTGGCTAGGTACTCTAATCGGGTATAGATTTCTCAACCCCAATCCCCAATGTGCTTGAAATCCTTTCTGTAACTTCATTTCTATCCAGGACTCTCATTTCATCCCACCGTAGAAACTTAATTCAAGATCATTCAGCCGATCTGGTTTTTTTTTTTTTTTTTGCGTGCTTGGAACTGGCACCTTTTTTTTCTTTCATTCTCCATCTTTCCTTCCCCAGGATTTGCACCTGAAATCTGGGGGCCTGAACAGAATCCGTCAAGATGCTGGGGGCAAGGGCAGTGATAGGGTGAGTGGTGGCATACAGGCCCTGGATGCTGGTTCCCTTGGGTGCCGGGCATGAGGCCTTCTCCCAGGCACTTCTGCCTGTGCCATCTCAGCTTCACTCTCTGGAACCCCCATGAGGCTGCAGGCCCGCTAAGCTCACTTCAGGCCCTCCAAATTTCTGCTTTC